GTTTGTCTTTGCTTCTATTAATGTGCTGTATTACATTCATTGATTTGCATATGTTGATCCATCCCTGCATCCCTGAGATGAGGCCGACTTGGTCTCGGTGAAAGATCTCTCTGATATGTTGATGGTTTTCGTTTGCCATTATTTTATTGAGGATTTTTGCATTGATGTTCATTAAGAAGATTTCTTGGTCAGTTTTTTGTTTGGATGACCTATTTATTCATGACAGAGGGGTATTACAGTCTCCCACTACCACTGTGTTGGAGTTTATATGTGCTTTTAAGTCCTTTAGTGTGTGTTTGCTGAAATTCGGTGCACTGACATTGGGTGCATATAGGTTGATAATTGTTATTTCTTTTTGATGTTACACCTTTTATTAATATGAAGTGTCCTTCTTTATCTCATTTGACCAATGTATGTTTGAAGTCTACTTTTTCTGATATAAGTATTGCTACTCCTGCCTGTTTACAGGGGATAGTGGCTTGGTAAATCTTCTTCCAGGAATTCACCCTAAACCATTGTTTATTTCTATCAATGAGGTGGGTATCTTGTAAATAACAGATTGTTATGTCTTCCTTTTTAATCCAGTTTGGCAAATGGTGTCTTTTGATGGGGAAGTTGAGTCCATTAACATTCAGGGTTAATACTGATAGGTATGTGGTGATTCCTGCCATTTAGTTGTTTTTGTTGTTTAAGGATTTGATTGTGTGCAGATGAATCAATGCTACTCTCTGATTGCTTTTCTTTTCTTCTCCTGCAGTTTGATCCTTTCCATCCTCTTGTGGTTTTGCTTGCTTTCATCTTCGGTGTGCAGAATTCCTTGGAGAATCTTCTGTAATGGTGGCTTGATGGCTATATACTGTTTTATTTTCTGTTTATCATGGAAGATTTTTATTGGTCTGTCAATTTTGAATGATAGTTTTGCTGGATAGAGTATACTAGGATTGAAATTATTTTTATTCAGTGCCTGAAATACCTCACTTCATGGCCTTGTTGCTTTTAAAGTTTCCATTGAGAAATCTGCTGTTATTTTGATGGCTTTACCTTTATATGTTATTTGTTTTTTCTCTTTTACAGCCTTCAATATTCTTTTTCTGTTCTCTATGCTTGTTGTTTTAATGATATTAAGCTGTGGGAGGTTCTATTCTGGTCAAGTCTGTTTGGTGTCCTAGAGGCTTCCTGTACCTGAATGGGCAAAACTTTAGTGAGATTTGGGAAATTTTCAGTTATTATTTTATTGAATATATTATGAATCCCTTTGATTTGGACCTTTTCTCCTTCTTCAGTGCCCATGATTCTTAGCTTTGTTCTTTTGATGGAGTTGTTGAGTTCTTACATATTCTTTTCACAGTTCTTGAGTTATTTGACTAAGATTTCTTTTGTTTTTTCTTTAATTTCTGTTTTATCTTTGAGCTCTGAGATTCTGTCTTCCACCTGTTCTAGTCTGCTGGAGTTGCCTGCACTGTGTTTTATTTGAGTATAGGGACTTTTTATTTCCAGGTTTTCTGTTTAATTCTTTGTTCTGAGGTTTACCATATCTTTGTTCAGCTCCTCTTTTATATTTTTTGTCCTCTTTAATTCATAAGTCTCTCTTTTTATAGTGTTCTTTGTTTCATTTCAATGTTTGTTGAAGTCCTCTTTTTTTTTTGTATCATCTTATGTTCTTTATTTTTGGTGTCTTGAAATTTTTTGAGCTCATCTTGTACATTCTAGTTAACCATGTCTAATATTTTCTCTGAGTTTTATCAGAGATTTCTTCCCACATTTCTTCTTTGTGCATTTTTATGTGGGTGTCACCGGGCCCTTTGGTGACATTTATCATTGTTTCGTTGAGGTCAGGAACTAGGTATCCATTGTCTTCATTTCCCATTGAATCCTGTATTGAATTATGTTTTTGAGGAAAGTGGTTTCCATCCCTTCTTCTTCCCATCACTGTATTTGGTGCTGTGCTGCTGTATTTTTAGTAGCGTGCTTGGTGGGCTTGATTGCCTGATTTCTTTCCCTGTTTTAATTTTGTGTTGTGTCTGACCTGGTTTTTAGCTAGGTTGAAGTGCTTTATCTGGTTTGGGGGGTGTAATTTAGCATTAACAAGTTCATAGGTTCAATGCCAGACCAGTTGTTAATGTATTCTGTAGACAACCCCTTCATGATAAGAGCTATTAACAGTTGGAGTTGGGGGGAGTAATGGTTATTAGACTTGTTATAGATTTTGGTGAATTGATAAGGTGGCACTAAAAAAGGGGGCATGGGGAAAGGGGTGGGTAGGTGGGTTAAGAGGTATGGGGGCTGCTCAGTTTTGTGGCCTTTGTGTGTGTTTGGGTGTATTTCTGTTGTTGTAGTGGAGAGTACTTGTGTCAGAGATTGCAAGGGTTTGGAGTTGTGTGCAGTTTTTACAGTAGGCTAGTCAGAAGGTGATGAGTGTGTCGGAGGGAGGGGTTGTATGGTGATAGGTTTGGGAGGATGGGAAAGGGAGGTAAAAACGGGAAAGAGTAAATGGTAAGAGGCAGAATAGTTGAGTGGGAGAACAATAGATTATAATATGGAAGAAGGAGTGAGAATGAAGAGGGTGAGAATAGGGATAAGAGAATAGTGGTGATGGAGTTAATAATGCAGGAATAAAAAATGAAAAAGAAAGAAGCAACAGGAACACAATAAAAAACACCAGGATCAGGAACCACAGAAAGTTCAGTCTATTAATAAAAGTTCTGGAGTTACTACTTAGGTGTGCAATCCTGTACTGGTGTTCAGGAGGAAGCTCTGATGTGGTCTCACCAGGTGACTGGCTTGTGAGTGGTACTTGGGCCTTCTGTCCAGAAGATTAGTTGGAGTTGCGAGATGAGGTAAGATTGCCACCTCATGCAGGTTGGTCCAAGCTGTTGTTTTCAGCAGGTGGTGTTCTTCAGTTGCAGCTCCCTTTGGTCATCTCCTACCCCAGCAAGGTGGGACAATTTAGTTCTGAATCCTGCCTTCTGTTCCAGAGATCAGCTCTGGGATCCCCTCCTGCCCTGCTATGGGAGGTTAGTTTGACACTCTACTCCCTCTGTCTTTATGCCTCTCCTGATCTCTGCTGAGTGAGTGCCTGCAGCACCTCTAGGTGGTTGGCTTGTCAGCTCATGCCCGATCAGCCTTTGTGCCTCATGGTGAGTCACTGAGAGCTAGGTGCTGAGATCTTGGTTTCCTGCCACAACCCTGACAGTTCAGCAGTCAAAGATCCACTCTTTGCCCTACCCCCATTCTCAGGGGTGGTTCAGCCTTCCACCCCCCCACCTCTAGTCAGTGTTAGATTACAGTTTGCTGTTTATGGCTTTCAGTTTTGCTGGGGGTGGGGGGGTGGTTCAGTTTGCCCAGGGGCTGCACTGGATTCTTTTCCCCCGGGGGGGGGGGGGGTAAGAGAGCTGCACATGGTGTGTGATGCTCACCTGTTTCTTCTGCAGTTTCACACAGGCATCTTTGTTGCCAGTTGTCACGGAGAAATGGCGCTGTTATTTTCAGTGTGGTGAGGTGCAGGGAAGCTTTGCATGAGCTAGAGTTTCAGGATGCCAGGATGTCACACGTTTTGATTCTGATTGATGATCTGTTTTCTGCTTGTTGGGAGAAGAAAGAAAAGAGAAAAAAAAAGACAGAGAGAAAGAGAGAGAAGTGGCTGGGGCTTTTCCCAGGGCTGGAGGCCAGACACACCTTCTGGCTGTGCCAGGTGGGGTTTTCACATCTGTTACATGCAGTTAAAGGCTGATTTAAGGGTCAGTCTTTGAGTTTTATCTGCAACTAATGTGATGATTATTATTTTGGCTAGGAGCAATCAGAATCATCCAAGTGTGGCTCCAGCATCTCAAGGAGGTTTCTGGAGTCTCAGAGCTTAGAAGATCTGATTCTCTACCTTAACTGCCGTTTTGGATCCCTCTATTCTATTTATTCTTTCTCATGGAAGTGGAGAAAGGTCTTTTTTGAGAAATAATGTAGTTCTACCTGTGCCTCTATACTTGCTCATTAGGCATGTACCCATAGTTTATACCTGTTCTTTGGAATTAAATCAGTATTGTAATTTGGATTTACTCCTTGCTGTCATCTGATCCGAAAATTTTCAGGAAGTTATTTTACAAGGTGTATATTTCCAAAGAAAACATAAATTTCTAACCCTATCTAATCTAATAACTTGGTACATTTTTTTCCCCAGAATAAAGGCCTTCTTTTAATAAAGTAACAATAAAAAAGCTATGGAAATCCATCAGCAAAGCTATTTAACAGAAATCAATACTACATATCTTGTGCAAAACGTTGCTTTTGTATAGTGTATAATGAAGTGAAAATGTGGGCATATTTTAGCCCTTCTCTTTGAAGCCAAATTCAATTTTCTAATTTTCATGTAATATCTTATTTCACTATTTATTGTAAAAGATCAATATTTTCTATACAATTAGGAAGTAGCTTTATACAGTTCTTGGAAAAAATTGGTTAAATATAAGCTGCTGTGCATGAGGAGCATTCCACATTGCTTTAAAAATAAACCAGAGCTGGGCACCAGTGAGTCATGCCTGTAATCCTAGCTACTCAGGAGGCAGAGATCAGAAGGATTGCAGTTCTAAACCAGTCTGGACAAACAGTTCACAAGATCTTATCTCCAAAAACCTCATCACAAAAAAGGGCAGGTGGACTGGCTTAAGGTGTAGGCCTTGAGTTCAAGCTCCAGAATGCAAATAAATAAATATATCAGAAACACTGCTTGGAAAACACCACCCACTCTGGCTTAATCCTTCCTTGGCCCCTGCCCCCACAATGCAGCGCAAAATTAAATTTAAACGCTAACATGTGGTGGAAAAGCTAAATAACTGAAACTTTTTTTTTAAATTGTTGTGCTGGGTGAGGATACATTGTAGCACTTACAAAGGTTCTTACAATGTCTACAACTTAAATTTATTGCACTTCCCCTCCTTGTTTACAGTGTTTGGAACAGACTGCTAATATGTCTTCCGGTCTTTTTTTTTCTTTTTTTTTTTTTTTTGAAGTTATAGTAGTGCTATTTGCAGCTCTAAAGAGGCAGAGGAAAAAAGAGCCTCTGATCTTATCCAAAGAGGACATCAGGGACAACATCGTGAGCTACAACGACGAGGGTGGCGGGGAGGAGGACACACAGGCCTTTGACATCGGCACGCTGCGCAACCCCGCGGCCATGGAGGACCAGAAGCTGCGGCGCGACATTGTCCCAGAAGCGCTGTTCATCCCGCGGAGGACTCCCACGGCCCCGGACAACACGGACGTGCGGGACTTCATCCACGACAGGCTCAAAGAGCACGACCTGGACCCCACGGCGCCGCCCTACGACTCCCTGGCCACCTACGCCTACGAGGGCAGCGACTCCATCGCCGAGTCCCTGAGTTCGCTGGACTCGGGCACCACCGACGGGGACCAGAGCTACGACTACCTGCGGGACTGGGGCCCGCGCTTCAGCAAGCTCGCCGAGATGTACGGCGGGGGCGACAGTGACAAAGACACCTGACCTGGTCTCCAGCCTCTGCTCCCCAAGATAAACGCCATGGACACTGTCTCCACTTCTCAATATTTGATATCCAGGAGCAGTTTCCTGCCACTCAGCACAATTCTTCCCATTTATTTCTTAATTTGTTCATTAATTACATTAATTCTTTTCCTGTGGGATGTCTCATGGAATATATATGACATTTTATTTAATCACTTCCAAGAGCCAAAGCTATGGAAATTCAGTGTTGTCCATCTTAGTAAATAAAAGATAATTTCACAAACATGAACAGGATCGATCTCCCTTAAGTAAACAAGCCGCTCTGTTAGCTACAGGTTCTGCTCTTGCAAATGAAGTTTTTAAAAAGGCAAAGGAAAAAAAGAAAATTATGGTATATCCTGTTCTGCACATTAAATTTCTAAAAATGTACACGTGGTGTTAGTAGGTGTGATATGCAACCTGGTATACAAACGTTTGTGCAATTTCATTTCATCAAATTCTATCTGCTAATGTTTTATATTTATATTTTTGTATTTATTTTTAAAAAAAAATAAACCAGTTTTTACAACTACTTTTGTTTCCAGCTTCTTTTTTTCCTTAGGAAGAAACACTTTCTACATGAACTAAATATCTTGGTACAAAATTGAATTAAGTACAGGTAAGAAGACAGTTAAAGCAATTATACTTAATATTGAAAACTAACCAAGTTAATACAACAGGTATGAGAAATTTTTTTCCAGAGTTCTGCAGTGATAGATGAAAAACTCTTCATATTAAAATTATTAGTCCTCTACAAAGTACTTAAGATTTATCAGTCAAATTTAAAACATTCCCAGTCCTGTGCTAAAGATACCAGTAACACAGGATCTAATTTTGTTCATATTCACTAAAATAATATCTAAAGAATAAGATGTCCACTTCGTTTTGTATGACATTTCTGCTATTATGTTTTATAAGCAATAATAGTTCAGACATATGTGACTGAAATAATATTTTAATGAAAAAATGTGTTTACCTCCCATGGTGACTTTGAGAATGCCTCATAATGACAGTAATACTACTGAGGACTCCATTAAGACACAGCATTATAATTATGTCAGCTTCCTCAAAATACATTACACATTTATGTGTAACAAAGTCTGGGTTTTTTTTCTGTCAATGAATTATTAAACAGAAAGCAAAAGAAAACAAAAATGAAAACACTGGCAATTAATCATCCAGTTACTGAGAATCATGAAGTCAGCTGCACTGAGTGCCTGCTTGTCAGCCACACCACTGCGGCATTCACAGGTGGAATGCTTTACCGGAGGTAGAGGCAGAAGACACATTCTCTGCTAAGTGAATTGTCAGATACCAAAGATTTATGTGAAATGCTGTGGTACTGGTATAAGTCAGGGTGGCAGTAAGGACATGATCTTAATGAAAGTTAATTATTTCACTTGGTGGTTAGGGAGTGCAGTATTGGTGTTTGAACTCAGAGTCTCACATCAATCTTCTTAAAAGATATTTTTTTCTAAATTCCAGTCTGAGAGGGTACACATCCTTCTGCTCACAGAAACTTTAATTTGTACAGTAGTCTGATTCTGAAGAAAAAAAAAGAAACAGTTTGGCCCAATTAAAATAATAGTTATATTGTAAGGTTAAGGACACAGTAGGTTATCTATTAAGACCTACTCTAGACCAACAATGAATTAATGTATTATGAAAAAAGTCAAAAAGACAAAGTTTAACAAAAAAATTCTATTCTATTTATGTTGAATTGCAAGGAAGGAAAAATCCTGAAAGTCCTGGAAATGTTACCCATTAAATACTAAGTTGTTAAACAATGGAAAATATAAAAGAATGGCTATCATATGAGCATTTCACACTATTTATGATTCAAAACATAACTTTGATTAAAATTAGTTTTACATTTTGTAGCACTATTTTTATCAATATTGATCTATCAGTCATTAAATTCTTAAAGATTTTTAATTATTCTTTAATTATTCATATCAAGATATTTCCAAGCCAGATGCTGGTGGCTCAAGCCTGTAATCTTAGCTACTCAGAAGGCAGAAATCAAGAGGATCACAGTTTGAAGTCAGCCTGGGCAAATAGTTTGTGAGACCCTATCTCAAAAAATCCAAACACAAAAAGGACTGGTGGGGTGGCTCAAGGTGTAGGCCCTGAGTTCAAGCCCCAGTAATGCAAAAAAAAAAAAAAAAAGATTTCCAAAGTAGCATTAACTCTCTTTTATTTGTCATCCTTTAAAAAAAAAAAAAAAAAACTTCAAGGATTGTGACAGCGATTTTTAGTGTAATCTAAACTAAATTCCCAAAAATTTCCTTTAAAATAGTGCTAAGTAGGCTTCTTTTAGGGCCTATTTTTGTACAGAATTATTCAGTAACAAATATCCTATTATTCGTGGACAATGAAGGTCATAGGTTAACTTTGATTTATTGATAACCCTGAAATTCAGAATGTATGCCTATAATAGCCTATTTAATTCTGTTAATATTCCCCTTGGAATTATGCTATCACAAAGGAATGTACAAGATACAGGTTATTCTATGTCCGAAATTGTTTTAAGTGGGGATTGGGGCTACTTGCTGTCAATATCATATTAGTTTTACTGATCCAATTTGGGCCTTTCATTTATTCATTAATTTATGCCGTTTTCATCAACTGCTTATTAAGCACTTATTATAAAAATCAAGGAATGTTCTAACTCTGAGAGATGTAATAATAAATCATATATAATTCTTCTATATAAGTGTGCAATCTATTAATGAAAATGAAAATTCTGTAAAATAATTATCAAAAAGGTTTGAATTTATACAAAATACCTAGATTTTCCTGATATTAAATTTTATAAACATAAAATTTAAATATATGTCCTACTTTTTCATGATTTAGATGTTCAGATAAGTGAGAAAATGATGTGTAAATTTATGGGTCATTAGAAATTATGACCACGTTCTCATTAGTTCTCCGTTCAGTGAAATTCAAAATCATATGCAATTATAAACCTCAGAGTCTTAGGTTGAGATTTCTCTTTCTCTGTCTCTCTCTTCTCTGTCTTTGACTATCTCATATATATATATATATATATATATATACACACATGTATATGCATATACACACATACACAAGCATCAAGTAGATACTGTTACATAACTGCAAGGATCACAGACATGTATTGGTAGAGTTTTACACATTATCCATGAATAGGTTCTTCTAAAATAAAACAACCTAGTATTTAAGATTATCCTCATATCCCTGCTCATTTATCAATATATCTACTGAAGTTTCTATGTGTAATTTATATCTGCATTAAACGAACATGTGTGCACATGTAACTATGACTATAATAGATTAATTCTATAAAACATTAAAGGAAATCTTCCATATGTTTTCCAGTTTACAAATAAACATACACATATTTGTCTGCTCATTAAATAGTTTCATCTAAACATGTATTCAGCAAGAAAATGAACCACTTTTCATAACACATGGTACACTGCAGGAGACCCAGCCCAAGTTTTACTAGCTTCTTTGACCATGCTTGGGTATCAGAATTTAGGGTTTTGTTTTTTTTTTTGAGACAGAGTTTCACTATGTATCCCAGAGTGTCACTGAACTTCATCTCTCCTGCCTCAGTCCCCTGGAGTGCTAGAATTACACTCTTGCACCACCATGCCTGGCTTTGTATTCAAAGATATGGATAAACTGGTAAAAGGATAGAAGTGACACACTGAAATCATTCAGAACTCTTTGTTAGTTATGATTAATAGCTTATAAGTTTTTATAATACAAGTTTTTGAAGAACAAAATTAAATTAAAGCTCATGAATATTCAAATTTTTGATAGAACCAAAGAAGCAAAACAGATGAGTAAATTATTGGCCTTTCCCATAGGTAATTATGCTACTATATCCTCAAAGAACAAACAGTATACAAGATGGAAACTAAGAAATGAAACTAATAAAAATTTTGTTTACTTCTTTAATTCAAGGATGGTACCTGTCTTTCCCTCCACTATTCCTTTAGTACATAGTATTTGGTATACATGGCAGCCATTAGTATAATGATATATATTATGTTTACTCATTACTAAGTTCCCTCAGAATCAATCATGATTGTTTAAGCTAGAATTGAGAACTTACTTATTTAATTCTATTGTCTTCCTCATCTTTATCAATTTCCTTTTACTATAGAAACTTCCACAGTAAAAATGTTGAATTCTGCCACTGTTTCTCCTTCCAGTTTTTCATCATTCAACCCCACTCTTGTAGGTGTTTGTCACACTTTAAAGAGATTATCTGTAGCTGTTACATGAAGTTACCTATTGTTTAAATATCACCAGAGTAGACATTAGAAATGACTAGTAGAGTTGTTAAACACTGCCATATATGGAAGTGCCCTCCTTGTGTTTAGCCCCTTTTATTTTCCACTTGGACAACTGTCAGTGTTAACCATCTTCAAACTTCTCTACCTTCCTCAAATATGCAATTTCCTACCATCCCATCTATTCTAATAAGGAAAAAAAAGTGTTCATTCTAAAGCAAAAAAAAAAAAATGCAAATGTCATATTGTTCTATTCTCAAAGATTACACTGAATTCTCCTTACCTAGAAATTTAATTTTAAATTAATTTTAATTCTAAGGATTAATATCTATATGCAACCAGAGTACTTTAAATCTTAGCTTAAAATTAATTGAGCTTTTTCTTCTAATTTCTATCAGAATTATAATTTAATGTTTGTGCTTACTCGATTTATGTCTGACTTTCTTTGGAAGTTCCAAAGACTACAAGTTCTTAACAGGAACACCTTATATATAACAAATTCAGAGGAGAGACAACTATTTCCCCACCAAACACACAAAAAACCTGTTCACTTTCCACCTTCATCATCTGAAATTTGCATTGTTGCTTCTCCAGTGAGATGTTCAATCCAAGTCCTTGGAGACATATTGGGTCTACTTTCTTTGTTTCTTTTGTTTTGTAATTTGTACTTTCAAGCAGTTTATATTTATTTTT